CAGCTTTTAGGTGGAAACTCGCATTTTCCCAAGCCTCACGTTTCCATACGAAGGGGATTCAACTGTGTTGGCCCTTGTGGCCCCAGTTTCTGCCTCTGTAAGAAGAGGCTCCGTGACAAATATATGGTGGTGGTTTGGAATATTTGCCCTTTCACTTTTTATTTCAGGCTCTTATTTGAATCTGTTTGTTTCCTCTTTCCTCAGTCTTAATGCATGTGGCAAGTGGCTTGAAGCCAAGTTTAATGTGGGTCTTTCTCACCTCAGTTTCGATGCCTGGTGAAAGAGCATCTCTCTCTCATGCAAATTAGTAAAGAGGCCACAGGGGAAATATGCTGATCGCATGCACCCCATGTGAGAACTTCTGCTCCAGTCACAGCAACATTTCTTATAAATGAATAAATTAGTATTCTGGTCCTACCCCAACTCATGTGCATTTTAGTTAGTGTGAACCGATTTCTAAGAACCCAGTCACCTCCCTGAGCACGGAAGAACTATTGTAAATCTCTGAGCTCTGAAGTGGGGGGCTAGATTTCCTCCAGCCTCCCCTAGGATGAAACATCTCCCTCTTGCAGCAGCACTTCTACTGATTGGCATACCCTTAGGTCAGGTCTCAGGTAAGAGGCTCGTTTTAGAGCTAAATCTTAGTAAAACTTCCGCTTATTTTGAAGACTATGAAACAGAATATCGTTCCTTTCTCTTTCCTTTCCTCTTTACAATCAGGAAGCTTAGCATCAATTGTAAAGGATCTTTTAGAAATTGTTCTCAAATCTTTCATATTTGTGGAATACTTTTGAATATTAAAATTTGGGACAGCCAACTTGGATTATTTAAACAACTTAAAACCTCTAGCCCAAACCGGTTTGGCTCAGTGGTAGAGCGCCGCTCTGCGGACTGAAAGGTCCCGGGTTCGATTCCGGTCAGGGGCATGTACGTTGGTTGCGGGCACATCCCCGGTAGTGGGTGTGCAAGAGGCAGCTGGTCGATGTTACTCTCTCATTGACGTTTCTGGCTCTCTATCTCTCTCCCTTCCTCTCTGTAAAAAAATCAATAAAATATATTTTAAAAAAAAAAAAAAAAAACCTCTATATAATCCTGTCGGGTGTTGCTTAGTGTTTGAGCATGCACCACACACCGAAGGGTCTCCTGAGTCACCCAGCACATAACTTGGGTTGCAGGTTATACGCTCACCCTGGTTGGGGTGCATGCAGGAGGCAACCAATTGATGTGTCTCTCACATCAATGTTTCTCTATCTCCCACACACCTCCCTCCCTTCCACTCTCTCTTAAAAAAAAAAAAAAAAAAAAAAAGTCAACGGGAAAAAATATCCTCGGTTAGGATTAACACCAAAAAATAATTAATTCATTTTGAAAAAACACCTCTAAGTAAATTATTCTATCATTGCAGGGGGCCTAGAATGCATTAATAATTAACCCATAATCCATAGGGTCCCCTTTCAGCATTGTAGAGCTGTGAGATCTATTCCTGCCCAGGCTGATTTCTTATACTCAGGAGGCAAAGCTCGCTATGTCCCAGTGAATCACTTCTTCCTTCCTTTCTTTTTTTTCTTCTTCTTCTTTTTTTTTAATAAATAGTATTATTCTTTTTTAAAAATATATTTTATTGATTTTTTACAGAGAAGAAGGGAAAGAGAGAGCTACAATAGAAAAATCAACCAGCTGCCTCTTGCACACCCCCTACCGGGGATGTGCCCGCAACCAATGTACATGCCCTTGACCGGAATCGAACCTGGGACCTTTCAGTGTGCAAGCCGCCGCTCTATCCACTGAGCCAAACTGATTTCGGCTGTTAAGTACATGTCCTTGACCAGAATCGAACCTGGGATCTTTCAGTCCGCAGACCGATGCTCTACCGCTGAGCCAAACCGGTTTCGGCCACTTCTTCCTTTCTTAATGCTATGCTTTGCCTTTGATTTCTAACATGAAGGAAATTGTACAACATGCTCCTTCATGACATTACATACTATGGACATAATGTTTTGTAACAAAAATTAAAGTTATGCCGAAACCGGTTTAGCTCAGTGGATAGAGCGTCGGCCTGCAGACTTAAGGGTCCCGGGTTTGATTTTGGTCAAGGGCATGTACCTTGGCTGCAGGCACATCCCCGGTAGGGTGTGCAAGAGGCAGCTGGTCGATGTTTCTCTCTCATCAACGTTTCTAGCTCTCTATCCCTCTTCCTTCCTCTCTGTAAAAAATAAATAAATATATATAAAAAAATTAAAGTTATGTTTCTGTGGAAACTTTGCTACATACTTTATCATCTTAGTACTATAGACAAGAACTAATCTTATTTATTTCCTCCATTATGATTTACTTTACAAAATTCCATTTTGTTTACTTCTAACATTTTACTATTTTAGTGTATGTATGTCTTGCCTTCTTAAATTCTTTGTGGAATGAGTCTAGAATCAGGGGTCCTCAAACTTTTTAAAGTGGGGGCCAGATCACGGTCCCTCAGAGAGCTGGAGGGCCGGACTATATGAACTACTAATTCCTACTGTAACACCTCGGCTGCGCTCACTGCCCAAAAAACCTGGTGGGCCGGATCAGACTCCTCTGTGGGCCGCATGTGGCCCGCGGGCCGTAGTTTGAAGACGTCTGTTAGATGCTCAAAAATAAATAAATAAATAAATAAATAAATAAATAAATAAATAAAATAGAGAAAATAAATACTTTCTCTTCGGTGCTTACTATCTACTGCCCTCTGCAGGAAGAAGGAAAAATAAGTGAGCCACAACCTATTATTGTACTACCTATAGTAGTGTCCCAGAGATCACTGCCAAGAGGAAGAAATGTTTAAAGTAATTGGTGATCTTTAAGATGTTAACCATTACCAACCAGACTCCATCTATTCACAGGAAATATTTTCCACTTTGCTAAAGTCCCTTCATTATGGAAAGATCTCTGGTAACCACATACCCTATTTTCAAAAGACCTCCCTAACTCCTGTACCCATATACAAACAGACATCAAAGTCCTTTCTGACTTTAGGTCAATGATAAGGGCCTCTATGTGAAAATTCCTTATGCCTTATAAAACTTGAGTCTGGAATTGAAAAAGAAAAGAGACTCAATAGTTATAATGACATAAAGGTGCAGACACTGTCAACCTCAGAGAGAAGGCAGGGGGGTGGGAGGGAGGGTAGAGATCAACCAAAGGACTTGTATGCATGCATATTAACATAACCAATGGACACAGACACTGGGGCAGTGGGGGCTTGCCCTCCGGGGTGGGAGTGTTTGAGGGGGCGAGTGGGGGGGAGGGGTCAAGACATGTAATACTTTAAACAATTTTAAAAAGGTACAGACAACATAACTTGTCTATGCTTTCCAAATGTCAATGAATGTTTTAAAATGCCAACCCCTGCAATGCAGCAATCAGAGATAATGTGAGATTTTGCTGTTCGTTTTCTGCAACAAGTGTGAGGCAGCTGCAAGACAACCAGCAAACAGGCAGCTTCAATTTTGTGTAGAAAAGACTGTTGATTATGCATGGATTATTTTCTTCCACCACACTACTTTGTATGGATAGCAACACTATCAGTGATGTCACCTTCTAAAAAACAACAGGCCCGAATGTATAGGCACATTGTGCCAACAGCCCAAATCAATGACCTGAGTAATGCAATCAGGGTAACACTATTATTTCTCCTCTAAATCCTCCCAACCCATAGAAAAATAATGCTAATCCGATGGATGTTCAAGGAATATGTTATGTGGGAAAGGCAATCAAGCCCTTGGTTAATTTCTACTCACAGGAAACACATCACAGAATTGAATATCAGTGTGTGCCTGTATGTCGTTTTATTTTTGTATTTGTAGCAAGTTATAACGTTTATTAACAATCCCACACATTCTTGGGTAAGAATATTTTTAGCAAGGATGTTTTCTAAAGGATTGATCTCCAGCCCTAGGCAGTTTGGCTCAGTGGGTAGAAACTTAGCCTGTGGTCTGAGGGGTCCTGGGCTCAATTTTGGTCCAGGGCATGTACATCGATAGATGTTTCTCTCTCCAAGAATCAATGAAAAAAAGATCCTCGGTTGAGAACTTAAAATTTTTTTAAAATAAAGGATTGATCTCCAAATGTATATTCACATAGCATACCAAAACTTTCCCACAACTGCAGCATCAGAATGATTTGCAGCATCCTTACAGTGGAGGCAGCGTTGTTTTATTGTTTGGGGTAAAAGAATTTTTTTTGAAAGTTATAGCTTTTAGTTTAATCTCCGCTTACATTTTGTGATTCAACTGATTCTATTTACTTAGCTTCATGGCCTAATATGGGCACAATATGGATTTAAGCAGATTTAATTTTTTTCAATGTCTGAAAATTTAGGGAGCCGATCTAATAAGTCTTTTCACTCGTTTAAAACATACACTGGGTTGAAACTGGTTTGACTCAGTGGAAGAGCATCGGCCTGGGGACTGAAGGGTCCCGGGTTCGATTCCGGTCAAGGGTATATACCTTGGTTGCAGGCACATCCCCAGTGGGGGGTGTGCAGGAGGCAGCTGGTCGATGTTTCTCTCTCATCGACGTTTCTAACTCTCTCTCTCTTCCTCTCTGTAAAAATTCAATAAAATATATTTAAAAAGAAAGAAAAGTCGGGACCGGTTTGGCTCAGTGGATAGAGCGTCGGCCTGCGGACTGAAAGGTCCCGGGTTCGATTCCGGGCAAGGGCATGTACCTGGTTGCCGCCACATCCCCAGTAGGGGGTGTGCAGGAGGCAGCTGATCGATGATTCTCTCTCATCGATGTCTCTAACTCTATATCCCTCTCTCTTCCTCTCTGTGAATAAATCAATAAAATATATTTTTAAAAAAAAGAAAGAAAGAAGAAAAAACATACATTGGGCACCTACTAGAGAAGCAGGTAGGTGCCTACATCCTCTTAGAAGACCTCACGGGAGTCAGCCCAGGGCCAGGAAGGCCACGCCCCCGTGAGGGCGGGGCCCCAGCCATCAGGACGCCACTCCCCGCGCCCTCCCTGCGCCGGGCGGGTACAGTCTGCATCGCACGCGGCCGGAGCCATGGCTGACGGCGGCCGGCCGCCGCAGGCCCGGGCGCTCCTGCAGCAGTGCCTGCACGCCCGGCTGCAAGTGCGCCCCGCCGAGGCGGACTCCGCGGCCCAGTGGGTGGAGGTAAAGTGAGCCCAGTGCTCCCATTATCCCCGGGAGCAGGGGCGGTCCTTCCCGTGCGGTCTCGGTGCCTGGTTCGCCCCTTCTCCCCACGTCTCTCTAGGGGCGGCCACGTGGCCCAGCAGCTGTTGCGGGGTGGCTCGGGACTTCCGCCGGTCTGCCCAATCAGCCTGCCCTCAGCGGCCGGCCTGGCCCCGCCCCGGGCCTCGGCCCCGCCCCTTCTCCCTCCGCCTTCCGCCTCCGGAGGCGTAGCCCGTCCCCAGCCCAGGCCCGCGGGTGTTCGAACTTGCATTCACCGCAGCCTGGGTGGACTGCATACCTGGTTGTCCCAGATCACTTGCTTTAAAAGAGCCTTTTCCAGCCCTCAGCATTGCTGGGCTGAGATGGTCCGAGTTTGTTGGTTAAATTTGTTGCAAATATTATTAAAGGTCTGTTTTGACTTGATTTTCCCTTTATGTTGACAGCAGCTGGGTCAACATAGAAGTGATATTTTTTCCAAGAAAGTTATTTTGGGAGTAAGATGAAATGAGAGAAATGTTAGTTTATAATGAAGACTTTTTAGAGGTACTCAGAAACTTTAATAGAGGAGCATCGCATTTCCTGCTGAATTGGTCCCAGATCTAGCATTCCTTAACACAAAGTCATTATTTTAAATACTGCCCATAAACGATGATATATGGCTGATTTTTCTTAAATCAGAATCTGTTACCCTCTGCCAAGTTGGAAATACTTATAAACATTCCTATATTTCCCCCTCCCTTTTGCTTTCTAAATATTCATGTTTCTTACTCCTTGTTTTTGTTGTGGCCTTTTCTGAGATCTTGATTTCTCTTACATATATTGAAATTTTATTCTCTTTACTAGAGGCCCAGTACACAAAATTTGTGGCACCAGTGGAATCCCTAGGCCTGGCTGGCAATCAGGGCAGATCTGTGGGGCAATGGGGGGATGATTGCAGGGGAGGGGGCACTTGCACCTGCCTTGTCTTGTATGGCACCATCTTCTTGCCAGCCCTGCCCCTCTCCCCTTTCCCAATCCCTCCACCCTCTGCTGCAGCCAGTTAGGACCTGTGGGCTGGGGCAGCACCTGCGTTGAGTGTCTGTCCCCTGGTGGTCAGTGCGCATCATAGCAACCAGTCATTTTGCTACCGTTGTTTCCCCGAAAATAAGATATCCTCAGAAAATAAGACCTACTTACAGGTTTCCTTCTGAGTGAAATATAAGGCATCCCCAAAAAATAAGGCCCCCCCTAGGCTAAACATGAGAGAATTGGTCCATTGATTCTGAAAGAAATGGAGTCACAAGAAATTCACCAGGAAATTCAGGAATTGGATTGTTATGATGATGTTCCAGAAGATGATGACATGATTATCATTGAATAAATGAGTAAATTCTTGATACTGTAGGATTCACAGTTTGTCTGCTTTGTGTTGACAACTGCCGTACTACCGTACTGTATACATGTAATAAATTTCCTTTATTTTCATTTAACAATAAATGTGTACCATATTCTTCTTCATGGAAAAATAAGACATCCCCTGAAAATAAGACCTAGCACATTTTTGGGAGCAAAAATTAATATAAGACACTGTCTTATTTTCGGGGAAACAGGATAGTCGGTCGATTTGCACATTAGGGTTTTATATAGATAGATAGATGGATATTTGCCATCTTATCCAGAGAATTGACTTTTCATAGTTGCCTCATGGTACAGTAAATCCCAAACTGTTAATCCTTTAGATTTCTGCCATGCTTCTTTTTTTTTTCTTTAAATATATTTTATTGATTTTTTTATAGAGAGGAAGGGAGAGAGATAGAGAGCCAGAAACGTCGATGAGAGAGAAACATCGACCAGCCGCCTCCTGCACAACCCCTACTGGGGATGTGCCCGCAACCAACCTACATGCCCTTGACCAGAATCAAACCTGGGACATTTCAGTCCACAGACCGACGCTCTATCCACTGAGCCAAACCAGTTTCGGCTCTGCCATGCTTCTTTACCTTTTTATATTTTTCGTGCCACATCTCCTTATGCAAAACCACAAATATTTTAGCAGCCTTCCAAACTATCAGTTTGCACTTACTAACTTTAAATCTATTTTAAACCTTTCTTTTTCACTCCTACTCATGGTTAAATTAGTACATATAAAGAGATAGTTAAAAAGTAAATTCTCTTCTCTTTCTCAAGCATCCTCTCCCCTATTATCGAAAGTTCTAATTTTTTAAAAACTTGTTTTAATTGTCAAAAGATTTGAAGGTTATTTTGCATTTTTAGTTTCATTTATGTAGAGCTTTGCTGTCACAAACTACTGTTTTCCTTCTTAGAAGGTGAACTTGTTTTAAGCTACAGTGAGAAATATTGTACTTTTATATATATTTGATATGTTTATTCTGAAAGAAGATGCAGGGCAAGTGATTCTGACTTGAACAGGGGAATTTGTAGGTCATAATTTAGGATCTATTATTGGGCCCTAACCGGTTTGGCTCAGTGGATAGAGTGTTGGCCTGGAGACTCAAGGGTCCCAGGTTCGATTCTGGTCAAGGGCATGTATTTACCTTGGTTGTGGGCACATCCCCAGTGTGCAGTAGGCAGCTGATCGATATTTCTCTCTCATTGATGTTTCTAACTCTCTATCCCTCCCCCTTCCTCTCTGTAAAATAATCAATAAAATATATTTTTAAATAAAAATAAAACATAAAGAAATATCCAAGTCATTATATAAAACAAATAGCTTACGATCCTCGTAACAACTTCGTGATGTAGAACTTATAATAGTATCATAAATGCAGTTTCCAAAGCCTAATAATGATGTTTGTTTAAAGCATTAACAATCACAAGAAATGGTTGGAAGGTTTCTTGGAGTTTAGTGAAATAAAATCAGACCCTTATTTTTATGATCTGCAAGTAATTTCATGATCTATTCAGGAGGAATAGAGTGATGATGTCATCAGCTAGGTATATGAGATATAATGCACATTCATTTTGGTGTTGAATAAATGGGGCCCTGCAAACTAAATGTGTCTGTCAGTCTTACTTTGGGGGAAGAAACTATAATAATTCATAGTTTAATGATTTTGATGAGAAGTAAATGTTAAAGGTAAAACTTGTGTTCTTCACACTGTTGGCTGTATTTTAAACAATTTTCTGAAACAAATGATAATTGAGGAGATTGAATATTGGAAAGATTTTGTTTCCTCAACATATTTAAGAAAACAATATTGTAAAAACCTACTTCTCTTTTGCCTTTAAACTTTACAGTTGTGAAATTTTATCCACTTCCCTCTTTAGCTCTACATAGAAGTTTCTTTCTAATCTGCGTTTACTGTGGTGATTTCTCATAGATTCAGAGAGGATTAGTGATCTACGTGTGCTTTTTCAAGGGAGCTGATAAAGAACTTCTTCCAAAAATGGGTACGTTTTGATGTTTCTTTTTTTAGTGAGAATGTGTAGCAATAGATAGATAAGTTTCCAGATAGGGAAAAAGGCACAATCTTAAATTTACTGGGAGGTTGTAAATGACTTAATTCTGTACTGTTGTTGTCTTTAGCTGTTTCCCTATTCCAAAGTTTAAAGTTAAGGAGTGTGATGGAATTCTTTTAAACTATATGCAGCAATTCAGATGGCTTATAGAATTGTGTAAACACACACACACACATACACCACTGAGATTCAGCCAGGGATACAGAAACTTGTTGGAAACAGGGTGGCCACGTATAGGGAGAAACAGATGCTGCATTTTGTAATATAGTTTTCTTATCTCCCAGAATCCCTAACAGGAGCATGTAGGTGACATGGGATGCATAAGATGTGGCCCCTTCAAATCTGGACAGCTCAGGTTGGCATCATGATTATGGGAGAATTTATATTAACCCTTTATGCATTTATTTGTAGAAAATGTGTATAAGTACATCTAATTATTGAACCAAGCTCAGTGTCATTACATCCACATCATCCAGGGGCAGAGAAAGCAGAGGCAATGTTTAAGCTCTCTGAACAATAATTGACCTGCCTGCAGCCTTTCAGTGTACTGGATGGTCCATAGCATTGCCCATTCTTTGTGATATTTACATTCATGTAGTTTCAAGACAGTATTTGATATAATGATTATGCCCCCCAAAACCCTAAAATAATGCTGCTATCCCCAAATTGGAGACAGGTTATATTCTCTTGATGAATGAAGGACAGTACCCATTAGTTCGATTAATACGACATAAATTACACAAATGGGTAGTTGAAGCATGCAGAAGCTAAACTAAAAAGCTTCAAGTAGTGGATCTCCAGGGTAAATAGATCATTGAAGAACAGCTTAAACTAACAGCTAAAACCCCTAGAGGGAATTTTATACTGAGACATCGAACATGTTTGACAATTTGTCCAAGGATTAAAACTAGACTTAAGGGACCTACAATAGGTGGGAATGGGAAGCCAGAAACTGTAATGGTTTAAAATTTTAATCTGCAGGATAATAGGGAGCTTAGAGAACATGAAATAAGGGCTCCTGTTATAAAGGGTTATTTACCAGAACCTAATTGGGAATTATACATTCTGTCCATTTTCCTGAGTTAATATTTTGCCTTGAATTAAATCTTTATTAATCATAAAATAGTATAGTAGAAATCTTCAAGAACAGGAAGAGAATTTTTGTTATTGTGATGTAAGATTAATGTCCTAAAGTTGTGTGTGTGTGTGTGTCTGTGTGTTTTTTTTTTTTAAGCTGGTTCTTTGTTTATTTTATTTTATTTTTTTAATATTTTATTGATTTTTTATAAGAGGAAGAGAGAGGGATAGAGAGTTAGAAACATCGATGAGAGAGAATCATCAATCAGCTGCCTCCTGCACACCCCCTACCGGGGATGTGCCCGCAACCAATGTACATGCCCTTGACCAGAATCGAACCCAGGACCTTTCAGTCCCCAAACCAACGCTCTATCCATTGAGCCAAACCGGTCTCGGCTATATATATATATTTTTTTTAAACATATTTTATTGATTTTTTTACAGAAAGGAAGGGAGAGGGATAGAGAGTTAGAAACATCGGTGAGAGAGAAACATTGATCAGCTGCTTCCTGCACACTCCCTTACTGGGTATGTGCCTACAACCAAGGTACTTGCCTTTGACCAGAATCGAACCTGGGACGCTTGAGTTCACAGGCTGACGCTCTATCCACTGGGCCAAACCGGTTAGGGCTGTTTTTATATTTTTTTAAATGGATCTTAAGTTATAGGATGAAATAAACCAACCACATCCAAGATGCATTTTGTTTTATAATAGTCAAATCCTGTATGCTTCCAAAAATATCCTCCTGAGTTCACTTTGAATACATGTATAAATTGTGGTGAATTACAAACACTGGGGAGGTTCACCTTAACTCTTCTAATGAATAGTTTAACACAAAGCTTTATATATCATAATCCTCAGTAAAGAACTATGACTGTAAGAATCACATTCTGCTGATGTCAGTTATAAGCAAAATAAGTCCATCTATTATTATAGATAATTTCCTGATATGTATTTCCCTCTATTCCAGAAGGCAAAGGAAGCCTGTATGATGGGATTCTCTTAAACCCCACCTCATACTTATTACATGGATTCAGATCTTTCCAATCAAATCATGTGCCCTTGGGAACGTAACAACCAGTTATCTCCAGAAAGTCTGAAATAGCATGCCTAGCAGATGTGCCAAATCTTCCTCAATTCATCTTCAATATAATTGGCCTGAGATCCAGGGACCTGTCAAAACTGAACTTTCTGGATACATCATTAGATATACTTGATTGATAACCTGTCTTGGGATCATTGAGTTTGCAACATGCCATTAATTCATTACCTCATTTTAATTCCACCTACTGACAGTTTGTATTTATATTATATTTATTTCTGCATACTGATATTTGTATACCAACAGCATTAAATGAATTCTCAATTATAGCCTCTAGAGGTAGGTGTGTAAAAGGATAATAAATTGTACTTTCCTCAGAAAAAAATTATACTAACCTCTCTGGCCTTGTATTCCAAAATTACCGCTGTTACTAGCCTGAGGCCTGGATGGCTAGGGGGTGCGTTCCACTGAAATGAAGTGCTCTGGAGAGTTAGTTTCCTTAGAAGCAGTCAGTCTATGCAGCAAAGTCCTATTTGTAATGGAGAACAGCAGCGATAGTTTAAAATAGGTGTAAGTTAAGTGAAAATTGATAGTGCTTGCCCTGGCCAGGTGCATATTCGGTTGGAGCATCATCCCAGGCACCAAAAAGGTTGCAGGTTCGATTGCTGGTCAGGGCACATACCTAGGTTGTGGGTTCCATCCCCTGCTGGGGTGTATACAGGAGGCAACCAATCATTGTTTCTCTCTCACATCCACGTTTCTCTCTCTCCTCTTTTCCTTCTCTCTCTCTCTCAAATCAATTTTAAAAAACACACATATTCTCCAGTGAGGATTATAAAAAGAAAAAAGAAAGAAAATTGATAGAAATTCATTTGGATGGTCACCTTGGCAGATTTTTACCAGATTAATTTCCTGATTTGTCAAGTGAGGTAATCATACTGAATCCTTAGTAATATTTACTACAGACCCCATGATATTGAAAACATTGAATAGCCCACCAGAAAGCATACTTTTTCAAGCCAGATTATTGGAGTATGAGTTTTACAACACTCTGAACAACTGAGCTACCTGGCCAGGGCTAATACCTATAATTAAAAAAAGCAAAATATGCTAACTAGACCAGACGTCCTTCCGGATGACCTTCCGGATGAAGCTGGACTACGAGGGAAGCCCAGGTTCTGGGTGCCAGAGGGAAACCGCTGCTGGCACCTGGGGGGAGGAAGGCCTACTCTTGCATGAATTTCGTGCATCGGGCCTCTAGCAGAATTTGGTGCTTTATAGAGAAGGATTTATCACTGTATTTTTTTAATACTATTTGCTTATGAAATGTAAAAAGGAACAAGAAGGCAAAATCTTCTCATGTATCCTCCTGGGGCAACAATATAGGATGTTCTAAAAAAAAAAGTATACACACTTTATCAGTTGACAAAGCACCTAATTTTCACTTCTTTTCAGATTTAAGTGATTTGAAATAATGCAGAAAGCCAGACTAAGCTTTGAACAAAGAGAATTTATCCTAAAGCACCACTATACTTTTTTTTATGGGGATACATAAAAGATAAAGTTTGTAACACAAAACCTGGCAAATTTAGAGCACACAAACATTGAACGAAATGATTCTTGATGTTTTTTATTCCATTGCTTCAAGTTATCAGCAGTGCCTGGACCAGAAAGGCCATCAGTTTGAAAACAGGCATTGACAAAAAAAAAAGTATTCATCTTTGTAGATTCTTTTAAACTTTAAAAATAAACTCTATGTAAATAAACTGGCTTTTTAATCATTCCAAGTGTGTTACACATTTTTGGGGACACCCTTTATTTTGAGGTTTCAGTATACAGTTATTTTAGTTCTTTCCGGATAAACTTATTGTTAGGAGATCTTAACCGCCAAGTCACATTTAAAACTTTATGCCATTTTCTGCTTGAAATTTGCCTTGCTTTTCATTCTTTGATCTTTTAGCTTAGTGAAGCAGTTTTTAAAATCTAAATAGAGACTTCGGGTAAAAAGCATGAACTGAAAAACTGGGTTTTAAATAATGAGATTTGCTGACTAGAGAATTGTTGGTTTTCTTTTCTCCATTTGTTTTTCACTTTTAAACATTTTTCCTTTCTTCCCCACCCAGTGAATACTCTATTAAATGTGAAATTAAGTGAAACCGAAAATGGCAAGCTCGTCTCCATATTGGATCTACCTGGCAACATTCTTATCATTCCTCAGGCCACCCTTGGGGGGAAAGTGAAAGGAAGAAGCATGCAGTACCACTCTAACTCTGGGAAAGAAGAAGGGTTAGAACTCTATTCCCAATTTGTGCTTCTCTGTGAAAAGGAATTGGCAGCGAACAGCAAGTGTGCCGAAGCTGGGGTGGTGGTGGAACATGGCACTTATGGGAACAGGCAGGTGCTAAAGCTGGATACCAATGGACCATACACACACCTGATTGAGTTTTGAGAAATTAAAACTCTCTACAGATGTTTCCTGGTGTGAGGTGATCTGGACTATAATTAGATTCCCCCTGTCCCCCTTCTTCTTGAATATGATAATCTGAAGCATTTTTAGACAAGAAAATCCGGGTCCCATCCATAACTCTGCAACTTGCTAATTGAATGATCCTGCCAATCCCTTGTACTCAGGATCTCAGTCACCTTTCATTCTGCTTTCCCTACACTTTGACTTGAGACTTTGAGAAATGCTTTCTATTCACTTTATGGTCACTGTGGAAATGTTCTAGGCTGTATGTTTTGCAAACGAAGAATTTTGTGCAATCAAGAAAAATGTATTTCTTACGCCCTCAAATTTATGTAGTATGTAATAAAAATAACTGTTAAAATTAGTTAAAATCCAGCACAAACCAATGATAATCTTGTCAGTTTTGTTTTACTATTACTTTTAATACCTATGAAAATGTAGTATAGAAATGTTGCTTTGTATTATAATATTACTTTCCAAGGGTATCCAAGTGTTTTTAAATCATTTTAAGAATCGCTATTTGATATAGGAATAAGGTATGAGGAATTAAAAGTTGTTTTTATTTACTATGTCAATGAGTTGCTATTTTCTTTCTCTCAGTTTTTCCAATATAATATATGTCTCATTTTTTTTCTCTTTCAGTTTTTAAAAATAAATCTTTATTGTTCAGATTATTACAGGTGTTCCTCTTTTTTCAACCATACATCCCCTCCACCTGATTCCCCACCCCACCTCATGCCCTTACCCCCCTCCACTGTCTTCATCCATAGCTCTAAGACTTTTGTCCAGTCTCTTCCCACACCCCTCAGACCCCCTTCCCCTGAGAATTGTCAGTCCACTCCCTTTCTATGTCCCTGATTCCATTATATTCACCAGTCCATTCTGACTTTTTTTTTTTTTTAATATATTTTATTGTTTTTTTACAGAGAGGAGGGAGAGGGATAGAAAGTTAGAAACATTGATGAGAAACATCGATCAGTTGCCTTCTGCACACCCCCTACTGGGGATGTGCCCACAAGCAAGGTACATTCCCTTGACTGGAATCGAACCTGGGACTTTTCAGTCCGTAGGTTGACGCTCTATCCACTGAGCCAAACCGGTTTTGGCCAGACTTTTATTCACTTGATTTTTAGCTTCACTTGTTGGTAAGTATGTATTTAATTTTATTTATTTATCTATTTATTTATTTATTTATTTATTTATTTATTTATTTATTGGTGTTCATAATTTTTATCTTTACCTTTTTCTTCTTCTTTCTCTTTGTAAAGAATACCCATCAGCATTTCATGTAATCCTGGTTTGGTGGTGATGAACTCCTTTAGCTTTTTCTTATCTGTGAAGCTCTTTATCTGACCTTCAATTCTGAATGATAGCTTTGCTAGGGAGAGTAATCTTGGTTGTAGATTCTTGCTGTTCATCACTTTGAATATTTCTTGCCACTCCCTTCTGGCCTGCATAGTTTCTCTTGAGAAATCAGCTGACAGTCAGATGGGTACTCCCTTGTAGGTAACTAACTATTTTTCTCTTACTGCTTTCAAGATTCTCTCTTTGTCTTTAGCCCTTGGCATTTTAATTATGAAATGTCTTGGTGTGGTCCTCTTCAGATTTCTCTTGTTTTGGGTTCTGTGCACTGCCTGAACTTGTAAGTCTATTTCTTTCACCAGGTAGGGAAAGTTTTCTGGCATTGTTTCTTCAAATAGGTTTTCAATATTTTGCTCTCTCTCTTCTCCTGGAACCCCCAAAAAATTGGATGTTGGTATGCTTAAAGTTGTTTCAGAGGCTCCTTACATTATCTTCAAATTTTTGGATCCTTTTTTCTTTCTGTTTTTTTCATTGAGTGCTTTTTGTTTCCTCATATTTAAGATCTTTGGTTTGATTCTTGGGGTACATTGATCTATAGTTGAGTTTCTGTATATTCTTTATTTCAGACAGCGTATGGTTAATTTCTGACTGGTCTTTTTACATTTTTTTTTCTTTTTTTTTCTTTTTGGCATTCTCATTAAGGTCCTTGAAGGTCTCAAGTCTCTGTTTTTTAGAAGATTCTTGAGTAACCTTATAAATGTGGTTTTGAACTCTATGTCATCCCATAGTTTGCTTTCCTCCATTTCTTTTGTGACATGTTTCTGTGTCTCCACATTTTGGCTGCTTCCTTGTATTGATGGAGCGGCTTTGTGTGGTAGGTGAACCACAGGGGCCAGTAGCTTAGCCTCCTCAAATCACCTGAGGTGGACAGTCTTGGTACACCCCTTTGTGGGTTGAGTGCAAAGTCTTGGTGTAATTAAGCCTTGATTGCTGTTGGTACACTGGGAGGAATTGTTCTCCAGGCCAATTGGCTGTGGGAACCCACTGTGTTTATAATGGAAGAACTTCTGTGCTGGAGACATGCTTATGGTGCAGGCCTTGTTTCAGTGGGGCTTTGGTGCTCACTGAGTCTGCCTCTTGAATGTGTCACTTACGGATGTGTGGAGTTGAAATCTGTGTCTCACACTGACTGCTAGGAACACTGGCTTCTGGATCTCCAATGGGGTGCAGTCAGCTTCTATGTGAGGCCACCCTGCAAGAGCTACAGTAAGAACTACAGTCCTCTCCTCCCTACTTGGGATTTGTGGATTATGGAGCTGTTTGAATCGGTTTGCAAGTTTGCTAGGTTAAGGGCGATAGTGAAGGCCATTCTGTGCAAAAGCAGCTGCTTGGAGCTTGGGTGGGTTTATAGGTTTTGCAGGGCGGGGTCTCAGGGTGTCACTAGGCTAGGGCATGGAAAACAGCAATGGCTGGCAACCTGCTGTCCCGCACTTCTGCCAGCATCCCTGCATCTCACACCCCAGTGCAGCAAACAATTATTCCTCTGCACAGCTCTGCAAGCAAGCCACATTCACTTCCCAACCCGATGGCAGACAGTCCAGCTTCTCCCCATAGGCGTTTGGTTCCTGCGTGTCCCCCCAGAAACTGGATTTCAAAGAAATCGGGAGCTTGTCTCCCTCAGGTTGAAGAAAGCAACGCCTGCCACCAGCCAGGATCCACCACCAGCCCATAGCGCATGCGCATCCTCATACCTCAGCTTTTCAGCGTTTGTGCACTGAATGCTCTTTTCTCTTTCCGCCTAGTTGTAGAACTTCCACTCAGCCAGCCCTCCCATGGCTCTGTGTGATAGATGTTCTGTATTGTAGTTTTAAAATTGTTGTGTAAGGCGGCAGTTTGGTGTTTACACCGCCATCTTGGATTTTCCTTCGCTTTCATTTTAAAAAGTGTATGCTTCATGAAAGTATTGTTAGTTTATAATTTTTAAGATAGTTCCTTTCTTATTGAATTAGATAGCTATAAAAGAAAGACAAAGGGAAACTTTCTACTGAAATTTTTGGAAAACAAGTTCACTTGTTCATTTCTGTATTATCTACTTAATGATTTGAAGCCCGTGTAATTTTTTCTATTAGTGAATGTTTCTGTTCTCCCTCCTCCACCTCCACCCACATCAAAATTTGTATTTTGAAGTTCCCCAATATGATGGTATTTGGAGACGGGCCACTTTCGGAATAATTAGGGTTAATGAGGCCATAAGAGTGGAGCCTTCATGAGGGATTAGCACCCCCATGAGAAGAGACACCAGAGAACTAGCTCCTTGTCTCCGCACCATGTGAGGATGCAGTGAGAAGAGGGCCATTTATAAGCTAGGAAGAACCCTTACCAGAAACTGATCATGCTGCCACCTTGGTCTCAAACTTCTAACCTTCAGAGCTATGAGAAAATAAATTTCTGTTTAAGTCATTTAGTTTATAGTATTTTGATATGACAGCCCAAGTTAAGACAGCTAAAGGCAAGAGAGGAAGATCTATAAGAAACTGAAAGAATAAATCAATAAAATATAATAGTGTGTTTGCAAACTCCTATGATGTGATTTAAAAAGATATTTTAAATAGTAAAAAGTAAAAACCAAATAATTCTAATAACCAAAAAGATGAAGAAATTAACTTGAATAAACTTAAGTAGCTGCTGAAATTTCTTGGTCTTACCAGTTCCTTAGGCCAGTGTTCCTAAAACACTTAACATTTTTATCACACACACATACACACACACACACACACACACACACACACACAAAAAGCTCTCATATTTCTCTATATTCTTTCTCTACTTTATTTTGGAAGTTGAGAATCAATAACTGGCTTGGTAATGAGCTCTTTGTCCTTAACTTTTGCTATATTGATTCAAAATACATTTATTGAAATATAATAAACTATTCATAAAATTGCAAACTCCAGTTTTCTCAAAGTTTCTACAAGGAGGTATATATATCTTTCAAAAAGATTATGTGTTTCCTATTTTAAATCATTTTGATTTGTGTGTAAGTAAAATGCTGACTCACAGCTCTAAGTTGCTATTTTATAGTTCAGGCAATTCTTCTTTAAAAGAAAAAATTTGCTTGAGAATAGCAATTTTAACCACACGAAAGGTTATTAGGCAGAAAGTGATGACAAACTTTGTTTTATTTCCAAGGAGACTAGAACAAGAGGCAAATGGCAAGAGAAATCGTGGATATGAAAATAATTAGACCTTGGTTTTCTGTAGCTCTTCTGGCCCAAGGTGCTCAAAAACCCTCAATAAATATCTCATTTTATCTTCCCAATATATAATGGGGATAGTGCTGTAGAAATGAAGACAATACTTAAGTAATTTTCTCAAGATCACACAATAGGGAGAAGTAATTTCCAATCTTTCTGATTTTTCTTATAAGAATTATTAAAATTGATCTTGATAAAAGTTTAGCATCTCTCAGTATTGGTCATTTAATAAAGAATAGCCAATAAACTGGTTTATTTACTAAATTAGGTGGCAGAGTTATGAAATAAGACAAGGATGGAATGAATATAGACAATAAATTATAATAGTTATGTATGGTGTCAGGTGTGTACTAAACTTATCATGAACAATTTATAAGGTATATAAGTGTCCAGTTACCACAATATTGTGCACCTGAAACTAATATAATATTGTATGTCAACTATAATTTTAGAAGGATTCCAAGATGTCTGCAGAGTAGGTGGAAGCTACACTCACCCGCTCCTGGCCCCAAACCAGATTTACGACTAAATTACAGAGCAATCAACCTGAATAAGTAACTGAACTGAAACAGACTCTCCAAGGATAGAGAACGATAAGAAGGGCAGAGATACGGAAAGGGCTAGCCTCCAGGCCCCAGCGTGGCAGCTGAGAAGCTGGAAGGATATTGGCTGTAAAACGCCATCTTCCCCTGAGCATGGGGTCTCAACCCCACACAGGGACCCCCAATTCAGAGCAACAGTGATAGGAAGAGGAGCCCGAAAAGCATCGGGTGGTGAAGGTCAGTGAGGATTCAGTCACTTGGGAGACCCAGACACCACTTTCCCA